GGCGTTCCTGGCTTCTTGGGTCCCTCTTGGGCCTCTCTTAGGCCATCTTGGGGCCATCTCGAGGCCTCAACATCGCATCGGACGCGAACAACGAGAAGGCACACATCATTTGTTTTTCTCAGGGCCTCGTAGGGCTCTTGAGGGGGCTCCGAGGGCACTTGGATCCGTCTTGCGGCCTACGTCGGGCCTCTTGGAGGTAGGTCGGACGCTATGTTGGACCATCGTCGGCTATCGTGAGCCATCTTTCAGGAGGGAGAAAACACACAGACACAATTAATCTCCGATTCCCCAGAAAACATAGGAAAATATGGGAAGTGGGGGGAAGACAGAAACCCAGAACATATGGGAACATATGGAGGATCGTTTTATCTGTGTGTATTTATTTGTGTGTCCCAGGGCCCCTTCAATCTTGAAGCATCGGACGCCCTCTTGGAGCCATCTTGGGCGCCCTGACACTTCGCGGCCCGCTCCCAAAACCTCAGGGGTCTCGATACGCCTCCCAGCAAGGACGACGTGTGTTTGGACGAGGAAAGAAAGATATCGCTACAGTCAAAAACCCTAATAAGGGCGCGCGACTTTGCTCAGGGTACCCTTGCGTCCTTGCTCTTCCTTGCTCTTGCGGCTCGCCATTGGCCTCTTTCGCTTGCCCGCTTGTCAGGGTACCCTTGGGGTTTTCGTCGTCCGCCGCCCCAAAAATCCCAACTTCGGCTTCCCCAAGGATCTTGCGTCCTTACCGCGCGTCCTTATTAGGGTTTTTGACTGTAGACCACCTTAGCCCAAAAGGTTGGTGGGATTTTGAGGAAAATCAATCCTGCAGTCGATCGCCTACTCGATCCTTCGTCCGAGGCGGGGGTTTACATGCACCCATCGCCTGGAGGATCGGCTTTCGGAGACCTTGACGGGCGGTGGACATGGACATGCCGGGGCCCTTTTGGGCCCGAAGCTATCCATATCCACCGCCTGCGGGGGTCCCAGGACGCCGGTTCCACAGGAGGTCGATATGGATATATCCCCGACTCGCATTCTTTCTTGTGCCACAAATCCAGACAGGAAAAAACACCTCGACCCCCATGATCGGCGTCTGCTGGACGGCCATGGGCGTCTGCTAAACAACCCTCTCCTGTTCGGTTTCTTCCTTCGGTGCGTTTGCTGAACGGCTTTGCTTGTCGTTACGCTGATTATGAGGGTGGTTTTCTTGCTCTAACAAGCGGTGTGTTGACCACACCGCGTGGTGACCTGGACCTCCCAGATGGGTCGGTCTAGATGGGGTCCAAGGATCGCGCCGCATCGCCGATGCATCGGCGATGCGGCTCGATGTGGAGCCCGATGTTCTCCACGCCGTCGTCGCCAACGCATTGGAGACGTGGCTGATGCATCACCGATGCGTCGCCGACGCCTCGGCGAGGCAGCGCGATCCTCCGACCCCATCTACTCGGACCCCATTCGGGAGGCCTCTACAACAGGTTTGGTGACCACACCGCGTGGTGAGTCAGCGGGGATTCCTGTTTTTCTGGCGATTTCGTCGGTTCTGCAGCTGCGTCTCACCGAGAGCGTTCGGGGGGTGCTGCGAGCGTCCCGAACGGCCGCTGGAGACCTGAGTGACAGCCCGGAAACCAAACTGTCGGAGGATCCGCGGACGACATGTGTGCACCGTACCGCGTTGGCGGCTCCCGAGGTTTCGTCGATCCTGGGCCCAGGAATGGTACGGTGCATAGTTTCTCGGCCCCTTGACGCTGAGCTACTATGCACCGTGCCGCCTTGGAGCGGGGCCTGAGGGGAGTTCAAACTTGGCACGGTGCATGGGTGCCGTTCTCGTAGGTCAGCCACGCGCAGAGGGGGGTGGAGGGAGGGGGAGGGCTTCTTAGAAGCACCCCTACTCTTTAAGAACGCGCGGGCCTCATCTACAGATGGAAGGCTGGTGCCTTCTAAAAACCAGCCTCCTTCTAAGAAGCCCTCCCCCCCTCCCTCCACCCCCTTGTGCGCGCCGCCAAGCAGGGGAGGGACGGTGTGGTGAGCCAGTGGGGGCTCGGGGTCACTGTATGGCTGCGGCGCCCGGGTCGTCCTCCGAGGACGTCTGGGGGTGGCCGAGGCTTCCGAGCTCACGGAGCCGTGCGGTGACGGGCCGCGCGGTGAAGTCGTTGGGGACCATGCGGTCCGTCACCACACGGCTTGAGACCCCGAAGGTACCAACCTTGGGGCGTCCAGCGTCGCTGACGACGACGACGTCGACTACGACGACGGGCGACCATGGCGACGACGACGACGACGACGACGACGACGACGACGACGACGACGGCGACAGCGACAGGCGACGACGACGACGATGGGCGACAATGGCGACGATGGCGACGATGGCGACGGCCGACGACGACAAGGGCGACGGACGACGGAGACGAATAGCGGCGAGCGGCATCCGGCGAGCGGCGCGCGGCCAGCGGCAGCGGCCGCGTTCGCGGATGCGCGCCGCGGAAGAGGCTTTTGGCATCGTTCGGTCGTGCGCAATTTGCCTTGGCTGGGCCAGCGCCAGAAGGTCTGGACCGTCTTGTTGCATCGTGGACCACGTTGAGCGAACAAGAGAAAACAACGCCCTAAGCAGAAACTCTTGGCGCCCCGCGCGGATTTCTTGGAGCCGCGCTGCGCCCCCCTGGCGGCGCCTCCGGAGCCGCCTCTGGCGTGCTTGATTTCTTCTGGTTGAGAAACAAAACACGTACGAGGCCAAGCGATGCACCCGAGGCGGACCTCCGAGCGTTGTCAAGGAGGGGGGGGACGACTCGGGGGCGGGGCGGTGACTCATGGCGAGATCCACGGCTTCCTTCCGCAGCTCATGGCCCCCTCGTCTTCTTTTCAATGCGCTCCCTGCGTGCCCCCCCCCGTGCGCGCACACTTGTTTGATTCGCGGGTCGAGAGCGCACCTCTTCCGGCTGAAGCTAAGCGGGCCGCGAAAAGCTTGAATTCACCAGGGATGGGAGAGGAAAAGGGGGGCGCAGCCTCAGAACGAGGCCGGGGGGAGGCAAAGCCTCGGGATCAGGCGGTGCCGTCCAAGGCCAAGGCTTGCCAGCCCCCTCTCCGGACGCCCCCGAGCTGCCGCTGTCTCTCGTCATGGGCACATTCTCCGCCACCTTTACTATACATGTAGGACGGGGGAGAAGGGGAGATGCGGAGGTCCTCCTCCTCCTCCTCCTCCTCCTCCTCCTCCTCCCCCTCCTCCTCCCCCTCCTCCTCCTCCTCCTCCTCCTCCTCCTCCTCCTCCTCCCCCTCCTCCTCCCCCTCCTCCTCCTCCCTCTCCTACCTATGGTAGTGGTGGTGGAACATGGGCCCATCATCTCGGCTTGGCCCCAGAGGTCGGGGGTTGACACATGCAGATCTCATCACCGCTCTCGGCCTGGGGGGGGGGCTGCTGTCGGGCCTCCCGGCCTGGGGCCATCCAAAATGGATCCGGGGCGAACGCCCAGGGAAGGGGTCGGGACCGCCGGGGCCGCGGCTTCGGAACAGAAAACAGCTCGGCGGAGGTCGGGGAATGTGCCAGGAGTCCCGGGGGAGCCTCGTGGCAGAGACACCTCTGGCAGCCCCCGCCAGGGCGGGGTTCGGGGAAAGGGGGGGTGTACGAAGTCTGCTGCGTGCAGCCGGGTTTGGGTCCCGCTCCATACGTTGGCGTTATTGGCTCCTGGAGGCGCCAGGGAGAGCAACTACGTGAGCTGACTCGTGAACCCTCCCTTTACTAACCTCTCTTTCCTCCCGACGCGAGTCGGCGACGGCGTCGTTATCGTTGTCGACTTCGGCGGTGTCGTCGACGCCAGCGTCGGCCCAGGAGGCGTCGGCGTCGTTGCCCGCAATGACTGGACGCCCTCGCCGATGACGCTGCCGACGCAAAAGCCTGCCACGCCTATGCCGACGACGCGGCCTTGGAAGCCGATACAGCCGGACCGAGGTATAACATCGAGGTCGGTTCGGGGAGGGTACTTGAGCGTTCTGCGTGTTTGTGGAATGGTACTGTGCATCCTGGGCAGGGTCTTCTTGGATGTGCTGTGTTCTCTGGCTGGCGGAGGGTCTCATGTTCTTGAAGGATGCTATCGTGTCTAAGGATTTCGTCTGGCGTGTCCCTCGACAGGAGGAAGATTCAAAAATACTGAAAACATAGTTTGCGGACGATTGTCTAACTATTTTTGAGCATTCGGGGTGTATTTGTTTCAAGTTGTTTTCTTTTTCGTCCAGGAACCGCCTGTAGGGGGACACGCCCGACTTAATCTTAGATCCGACTGTACCTCCAGGGACGCCTCCGACGCCGACGACGCCGCCGATGACGCTCGGGCCAGACAAGAGGGGGGGATAGGGAAAGGGGGTACGAAATTTGCTGCATGCAGCTGGTTTCGGCCCCGCCGCGGGGGCCCATTCCTCGACACGTGGCCGCCTCCGGCGCCGGGAGGCGCCGGGAAAATCAGCTACGCGAGCTGCTCTTCTGCCCTACCCTTGGCCATCACGTCCCCCCCTTTCGCCCGACCCGAGACGCCGGCGCCGACGCCTAACAGCCCGCGCCGGCGACGACGAGGCGCGCCCGCCCAGGGGGCCCCGGGCCCCGGCGGCGGTGCCGCGGCGGCGGGGGACGCGCGGGCCCGGCCGGGGCAGCCCGCCCTGAGGACGGGGCAGCGCGTGGTGCTGCAGGGGCTGGAGAAGGCTCCCGCGAATTGAGCAGCGGCGAGGCGTCCCGGCTCGCTTGTATCGGGGGTGGACAGACCTCCTACCCTGACACGTCGATTGAGGAATTGGCCGTCTTCGGTTGGCGAGAGGGCGTCGGGGCCGTCATTTTTGCGGGTCCAGGTCCGTCGGTTTCGGCCCCAGGCCGTTTTCATTAAGGGGAGGTTTACTAAAGGGAGGTTTGTCCACCGCCGACTGTAGCCCTGCCAAGGAAGGTTATAAGAACCTTTTGGGGTTTCCACGGACTGTTCTCAGCACAGTTCTGGCGGAGTCTGTCTTGTGTGGACACATCGGGCTTATGTTCTGAGAGCATTGTTTTTGTTCTTAGAACATTTCTGGGTGCTAAGGACATTTCGTTGGTATGACTATGGGAATGCCGGGACGGTCGGTCCCTGCTCAACTCCCGCGAAGGGGCCGGAAACGAAAACCCAAACGAGCACGAAACATACGGAGAGAACGAATTAGGCACTGGCGCCGATCCTGGTAAGGCACATCCTTGGCCCAGGATCGGTGCATCTGCTTCCCTGGCCACTGCAGGAGGGCGTATACGCGCCGATCCTGGGCTCAGTTTGGGCCTGGCCAGAATCGGTGCATGTGCATATAGTTCTCTTTCTCTTCTGACTGCTTGGGTTGAGGTCCCAGTGCTGGAGATGGCGCCGCCGCTCCCCAGAGGGATCCCGAGGGCCCCCCTCTGCAGGACTCCGCGGGTGGCCCCTCTGGGCGCGGGGGGGGCGCCCCCTGCGCTCTCCGGGGCTTATTCCCCCGGGCGCCCGCCGGAGCCCCGGGGGCAGGCGGCTCCCAGTGGATCGGGGGTGGACAGACCTCCTACCCCACGTCGATTAGTGAATTGTCCTTTTTCGGTTCTCGGTAGGGCGCCGCGGCCGTTATTTTCCAGGCTTGCGCCCGCCAGGTTTGGGCCCGAGGTCGTTTTCACTAAACCACGTTTTACTAAAGGGAGGTCTGTCCATCCCCGAGTGGAGCAGTCTCGTGCAGAGGATCGGGCCGGACGAAAGGGGGGGGGGGGATAGGGAGAGGGGGGGCTACGAAATCTGCTGCATGTAGCTGGTCTCGGGGCGCCGGGAAAATCAGCTACGTGAGCCGAGTTTCGACCCTGCCCTTTGCGATTCTCCCCTTTCGTTCCCCCCGATCCTCGGAGGAGGAAAAGGTACCCATACCTCTACCCTTCGCCCGTGTTCCCCCCGTTGGGCCTCTTCGGAGGCCCTCGTCGCCACCGCTGGATTCGCCTCGAAATCCGGAGAGTAGCGGTATCGATACCAATCTTGTCCCCCCAGATCCGCCACAAAAAAAATGTACACAGACACCCTCCAAAGGAGCGCGCCTGGGCCCCAGGGGAGGGGCGAGGATCCGCCACAAACAAGAAGAAATACAGAGGAGGCCCATGCCAAGAGACACCCTGCCTGACTCCAGGATGCCCCTGGGTCTCTCGTGTTTCGATGGTTCTGCGATGGAGAGCGTGAAGCTCCCGCGCCAAAACTCAGTGGACGGCCTGGGGTCTCAGGGTTGGGTTTCTTGTGGAAGGTTTCTTGTGGTCGAGCTGCTACTGTATACACCGACACCCTCCTGGTCCAGGGGAGTGCACCTGGGCCTCGTTGGGAGGGTGGGAGTCCATAAATCACCACTGGGAGCCGCCGACGCTCCACACCGCCGCCCTCCCGGAAGGGGCACGCGGAGTGCGTCGGAGGAGGCCGCCAGGGACGGGCCCCAGGCGGCGGGCCCTCCCGCGGGGGGGAGGCGCGGGGCGCGCCTCGGGCGCGGGCGCGGACAACTCAGGAGGGAAAAACACAGACACAATTAATCGACGATCCACAGGAAAATATGGGAAAACATGGGAAGTGGGGGGGAAGACAACTTAGAAAATGTAGGAAAATATGGGGAATCGTTTTATTTGCGTGTATTTATGTATGTGTCCTGGGGCCCCTTCAACAACGGCAGGCACGGGCGGGGGCGAGGAGGAGCGGGGCGCGAGGCTGGCGTGCGGGCGCTGGCCCGGAGCGCGCGGCCCGCCAGGGAGCAGGGGAGTGGGCCCTCGACCCTCTCCTCGGGCGCCAGTGCGTCTGCGTGCTCCCAGGAGGCCTCCTCGTGGACACGCATGGGCGCGGATCGACAGAACGCCCCGCCAGCATCGCGCCCCGCATCTCGTGGGTGGAGCCCTGCGCCCTTGCGCGCCGTGGCCGGGTCTGGTGGACCCAAGAGGGGGTCAGAGCAAAGAGCGTGGTGCAACGGGTCTGGTGCCATAGTTCTGTGGGGTTGCAATCGACCGAGTGGGCGTGCAAGAAGTTCCGGCGCGCAAAACTCCGGCGCAATACATGTGCACTAGAATTGCCCCAAAGCTAAGCCTATTGCACCACCCATTTTCAGCTGAACCCCTACTTGGGTCAACCAAAACAGGATCGCGACTCGCGACGGAGGGCGTTTTGCTGCTCTTGGCCTCCGGGGGCCCTCGCCAGGTCCCCGGACCATCAAAGCACGGCTCAGGATGAAAAGACGGTCCAGGGGAATGGGTCTCCCTTCCCTCCTCCTTTCTTTCCCCCCCCCCTCTTCCTCATCCTCCTCATCTCCTCCTCTTCCTCCTCCTCCTCCTCTTCCTCCTCCTCTTACTCCTCCTCTTCCTCCTTCCTTTTCCTCCTCCTCTTCCTCCTCCTCCTCCTCCTCCTCATCCTCGATACCTGAAGGTCCACGTAAGGACGGGGCAGCTCGCGGCGCTGCAGGGCTTCCACAGGACCCCCCCTGCAGGGACGAGGCCGTCAGGAGGCATGTCCTGGGATTTCCGTGGGCTCAGGAGCGGCCTCCTCCGGCGCAGTCCTGGGCAACCTGGCTTTGCCGCCACGATCGGGTCGAATCCTGGGCTTTATCTGGGCATATTTGGCGCGAGGGCCCTTCGATCAGGCGCCCATGGGCCCTGAACCGTTTGTGGGAAGACCTCCCAGGAGTTTCCTTGGGTTGGGCATGTCTCCCTACAGACGGCTTCTGGGCGAAAAATAGAAATAAGCCCACCAACATATACATCATTAGACAGAACATAGAAAAATCGCCCCACATTTTCAAGAACCGCTATGTTTGAATATTCCTTTTGTGGAGGGACGTGCCCGAATTCAGAGTTGCCTCCCAAAAGAGCAGCCGAGACACCTCATGAGCGCAAGCCTTATCCCTAGCCACGGCGTGTCGCGGGTTCCTGGAGGACCGGGGTGCTGAACCCCTGCCTTGCGACGGTCTGGTGTTGTCAACCAGCATTACTTCCTCGGTTGCGGCCCTGGGGCCCTGTTCTCTCGGGCCGCGGGCCTGGGGCGAAAGATTGGCCTCGGGGGGAAGGGGTCAGAACCTCTGGGGCCGCGCCTTGAAAACATCGATCGGGTCTGGCCCAAGGTGTCCCCCTTGTTTGCGCTCCGCCCTGGAGCCTCTGGGGCCCTCTGGGCCTCGTTAGGGCTGCTCTGGAGGCCGTGGGGTCCTCCGTGGAAATCATGGAGGCACATCGGGCCAGGGACCCATGCGCAACACCCGACATGACTGTAGCGAGCAGCGGATATGTGGCATAGCAGTTATATTCTTCATTAAATGAAGCTCGATCGTGGGCGGAAGCGGCCTCGTGGGCTGCTGGATATGGGGCGTGTAGTTCGCGGATGCCACGCGAGGAACGCATATCCACGGGACCGCTTCCCAGAGCCCAGACCGCACGGGCGTGGATATGGATACGCCTGCCGCCCGTGAGACATATGGCAGATCAAACAAACATGAAGCCGACAAGCTTCTTCTTCTCCTCCTCCTCCTCCTCCTCCTGCTCCTCCTGCTCCTCCTCCTCGTTCTCCTACTCCTACTCCTACTCCTACTCCTACTCCTGTCCCCATTCCTTATTCGACTATACTCTTACTCCCACCTCTGTCAGATGTCGTTGCCTCGAGGGGCAATTTCCTCCGAACCCGGGGCCGTCTCGAGACGTCCTCTGGGGTGAACGGCGGGCTGCTCGAAACGTGTCGGCACGCGGTGCGACGCGGGAACGTATAGTTCTTTCGGGCGGCTTACAGCACTCGACTAGACGTAAGAGTGACCTTTCGCTGGAGTGACCTTTGGTGCGGGCTCCTCGGGCTCCCCCCGATCGCCGAGCGCGATGCGATACAAGCGGCCCGCGCCTCTGGGTTTGGCTCCCTCGCGCCCCCAAGAGCTGCGCACCAGAGGTCACTCTTGCCCAGGGTCACTCTTGCGCCTGGCCGAAGCACGCCTTCCTCGCCCCCCTTCACCCCTCACCGCCCCCGCCGCTCCTCTCTGGCCCCCGCTGCCCGTCTCGGCCCCCGGGTGGCTTCCGCTGAGCGCCGTCGCCTCGTGAGCGCAGGATCTCGGCGTGGCGGCGCCCTCCTCCGGGTGAGGCTCCCATCCCTTCCCCATCGGGGCCTGATCAGGGGGCCTGATTGGGGGGCCACGTGCGAACCCCACCCCTGGTCCCTCAGAAATCGTGGGGGGCGGGGGTAGGGTTCGCACGTGGCCCCTAGTCATAGGGGAACAAAAAGAGACATAAACATAAAAACTCAGAGGTCCGCGCGGATTTCTCGGATCGGCGCTGGGGCCCCCCGGCGGCGCCTCCGGCGCCGCCCCTGGCGCGCTCCGCGCGCCAGGGAGGGGGGTCCAGCGCCGATCCGAGAAGTCCGCGCGGACCTCCGAGTTTTTATGTTTATGTCATTTGTTGTTCCCCTATGATTAGGGGGCCACGTGCGAACCCTACCCCTACCCCCCACGATTTTTGAGGGGGAGGGTGGGGTTCACTTTGTTCGGGAGCTCCCGAGCGAAGTGAACCCCACCTTCCCCCTCAGAAATCGTGGGGGGTGGGGGTAGGTTCGCACGTGGCCCCCTACTGATGTGCTGCGGTGGTCCGCCTTCTCCGCCGCTCCCGGCACTGCCCGTGCCGGCGGAGGCTCGGGAGCTCAACGGGCACAGGGGCGTGGTCGTCAAGTGGAAGGACGCCGCCTGTTGCGAGTGAGGGGCAGGAGTGCGGGCAGGAGCTGCGGGAGCAAGTGCAGCAGAGCGAGGAGAACAGAGGCGTGAACCAGGAAGAGGCCGAGGTCGAGGAGGAGGAGGACGACGACGGGAATGAGGTCGAGCAGGGCAAGGAGAAGGAGGAAGACGAGAGGCAGAGAGGCAGGAAGGAACAGAACAGCGAGGAAGACGGCGACGACGGGGGCGAGGTCGAGGAGGGGAACAAGGGCGACGACGATGGCGAGGGCCATAGAGGCACTCGACCTCCCCAACCTCGTCCCTCTTCCCCCCCTCCTCGCCCTCCTCCCCCTCGCCCCCTCCAGGA